TTGGTTGGTTTTTCTGTTTTGTTGTTGTTGTTGTTGTTGTTTTCCTTTTTTTGGCCTTGTTTGCGTCTGTATTAGTTTTTTTTTCTTTTCTTATTTTAGAGGTAACAAAACTTGATTTTTACAAAAGTGGGTGTTGAATTCCCATTCAGCAATAATAATGTGTGCCCGTTTTAAAAGGCGATTCGTGCAAAGGATGCCAATGTGTTCTGGGATCGGTACTTCTGCTTGTGATAGATAAACTGTTGCGCAAATCATTAGAAGGAAGCAGAGTGCCCACGGGTGCTGGTTCGCCCCTTGTTACGCAGATTAATTACATTATAAGCAAAAAGGCACTTCATAGCTTTCAGACTTTTATTGCAGCTTGATAAAAAGAAAAGTAACGTCAATATATACATTTTAAAGTACACTCAACTACTCACACGACTACTTGAACATTAGACGGATATTTACAATTATATTTAACGCTGGTATTTACGTGCAAGTGTTTACAACAGTTAGGAACAGTCTTAAAATGCAATTTACATATGTTACAAAAATTGCAGGCTCCTGGCCTTATGCTAACAGCAGTGCTTGCGGTATGAACATAAACGGAACCAAGTCCTTGTTCTCCAGTTACACCGTACAAGCCTATGATTCAACTGTCTTTAGTTTACTTAGATTCTACAGATCGACCTGGAATACAGCGCCCTATTTTCAAGGCTATTCTATGCATTTGTGACTTCAGCTGGTAAGCTAACTTTGCAGTTTACTACGATTCATTGAAAACGTTCGACGCAAAAACTGCCGAATATAATTCTTTTAATTCAAACGCTGCATAACCTAACCGCGATGTACATGCCCTATTTTGATATTCGGATATTCTATAAGAACTGCCATTGGTATTGAAGTTAATTGAAAATTAACACTCCTAATTTACTCAAAGGCAGATACCCTTTTACCTATTCTAGTAACGTTACAGGAATAAGATAACGGATATTTTCTTACATTTTGGTCAAAGCTGTTTCGAAAATTACGCACTAAGTACCTTTGCTCGTAAAAGAACTGTTTCTAGAACACTGAACCACAGTACTCTTACAGGGTTTAGGGTTAGGGTTAAATTTTAAACGGAAGTTAACAATTATATCTCAGGATTTTTGAGGTTAGGACGAGTGTATGATTTTAGACACTTTCGTATATGGTAAAGTCCAATTATATATATCACAAAAGTAAGAGAGTTAACGTTGATTAAAGTTCCTTAAATCACAGTGTAACATGGTGTACTGCAACTAGTTACATGCATGTATTTCGAGTTACTTGAGAAATAAGATAATTTGGTTTTAGTTTCACCCAGCTAGTGGACTAATGCAAATCCTGCATTTTGATTGGCTACGCTATTAGGGGACTATTAGTAATAGTCATCGNGAATGGGCTATTGACCCGTAGCCCTCAAGGGCTACGGGTCTAATTGTTAATTATCAACTGGGTTGATAATGTGAATTGGCCACCGTAAAGAGATTCGAAAGTTGACGTTTCGAGCGTTAGCCCTTCGTCGGAGCGAATCCGATTCCCTCTACTTGAGAAATAGATTTAAAAATGCTTCATTAAAAAGAAAAATTTTAAAAAGTACAGTAATTAAGTCTATCGCAAGGAATGTACTGTGATATTTTGTAACTTGATTTAATTAGATTGTTGTCAATAAAGAGAAAAGAAAAAGTTATACAGTGAAACCTCGATTTAAGGAGCCTCTATATAACGAAGTCCTTGGTATAACGAACAATATTCTTCGCCCAGTAATAGTAAAATACGTAGAATAGAACCTCGATAAACGAAACCTCGTTATAGCGAGTATATTTTGCCAGTCCCCTTGGCCTTCGTTATATCGAGGGTCCACTGTATTTAGGTTTCCATCACTGCTTAAAGAAGATACACAGAAAAGAGATATAAACGCGAGTACGTTGCGTTCCGAAGTCATCTTGTCGCCACCATCAAACGCAGATTTTCACTTCGTGCGGTTCAGATAAGTATTACTGAAGCTGAAAAAGAGTCAAGAAAAATGTCAGGTATTTAAACAGCTTTGCACGACGCCGAGACGTAATGTACTATACAGCCAGCGTTCATATTTCTTTTCAGAGAAAAGGTTCCATCACTGAATATTTAGAAGTTATTTAGAAGTTCTACCCATGTGTCCCTTTAATTTATCTAATAATATTATATATTAATTTAAAAAAACAAGGATATATTGCCGTGCATTCAGTAAAAATACCTTACTTACTACTTATTCAATCACTCACTTACTTATTTACTTCTTACTTAATTACTTATTTACTTGTTTACTTGTATACTTTGCTAATTTACTTCATCAAATTAATAATTAATTGATTAAATAATTACTTAATTGATTTTTTTGCTTGGTTACTCAGATTGTTATAATATCTCGCTTTGGTAATTAGTTTTAGGAATAATTATTTAGTATTTCCTAAAATTCCTTCCTGCAGTTTCCACAGGCATGAGTTGGAGAGTCTGTTAAATTTTGGATGTAATGGAAACATGTAATGGAAAACGATTTTACATATTTGTTTCAACTATGAATGATCAGTGAACCAGAACGGTCCGTGCGTGATCTGGATGTCCTATTGTTCACAAATATTTGTAATATAGGTATTTTTTCTCTAACAGCGCACTCTCATTGACTAATTAATAAGACGTCACGTGACAATTAGCAACGAACAATTTCCGCAAGCTTACAAGTTACAAAGTCTATGGCATCTTATAGTTTACCACTACGTTTTCTCCAATTCGTATTGGTTTCAATTGATAACGCGGCGTGATGGTGTTCATCGGCGGAGAGATACTATCAAATATTTTCGCTTGCGCGTGATTGGTTTAAACGCGTCGCGTGCCCGAATATGCTCCAGCTAAAACTGGGGAATATCCGAGAGATATTCCCCAGTTTTCAAAACTGCGTATGTTGCGAAAAAGATTTGAAGGATAATGAACACGATACCCTCCATTTAGCGTTTGTTTGTTTGTTTGTTTGGTTGGTTGGTTTTTCTGTTTTGTTGTTGTTGTTGTTGTTGTTTTCCTTTTTTTGGCCTTGTTTGCGTCTGTATTAGTTTTTTTTTCCTTTCTTATTTTAGAGGTATCAAAACTTGATTTTTACAACAGTGGGTGTTGAATTCCCATTCAGCAATAATAATGTGAACCCGTTTTAAAAGGCGATTCGTGCAAAGGATGCCAATGTGTTCTGGGATCGGTACTTCTGCTTGTGATAGATAAACTGTTGCGCAAATATCATTAGAAGGGAGCAGAGTGCCCACGGATGCTGGTTCGCCCCTTGTCACGCAGATTAATTACATTACAAGTAAAAAGGCACTTCATAGCTTTCAGACTTTTATTGCAGCTTAATAAAAGCTTAATCCGATCCCAGGATACACTGGCATGAGTCTATCTTTTTGTCGAGGGTCCCACGTCGAGGGTCCCATGTCGAGGGTCGTGGGTCGAGGTTCGAAGGTAATATTTTTTTTTCTGGGTTTGTTGTTTTACTCCTTGCTTTAGGCTCGATTTCCGCCGCTCAGTCGAGTCCGGTCTGCATGTTCTTCCCCGATTTGGTTAAATGTAGTCTTCTCGATTCAGATATCTTTTTGGGTCCCATGTCGAGAGTTAAATAATATATCACAGACCTGATTATTTATCTATAACTTTCTATAACATTCAAAGTCGGGTTTTTCATGTGACTCCATCACGTTGGATGCTTTGGCCGATGCACTCATGCCATCAACTTTTGAATGGCTATCCGCGTAGAAATAAATCTAAACATTAAGTTTTGCAGTCGTAATTTCTTCAACAAAAAGATAACACATAGGGATAACAGGATGTGGTTTGCGTTAATATTTGTATTGATAGTGTCAATGTTGTGTCAAAGTGCCTCACTCGCTTCGAATTTCACATTTTTAGCTTCAAATTTTTCACTGTGGAAAGCAAATAACAACGCCTTCCCTGGCTTCGTTTGTGTACCTTTTTTCTAGGTCACTGTAGTCGTTTAGGTAGTGTTACTACCAATGCGATTTCGTAGAGTGTTGGCTTCATTGTTTTCCAGTGTTATTGACGGGCCGCGATGAG